TCACAAGAATTCTACTGCAGTTACAGCTTTCAGGGTCAGGTTTCTGGATGATCAGGGAAGTGTAAGTGTTATGGAGTGCTAAGAAGCAAGTTCTTTTGAAAATTTTGTCTGTAAGTAAAATAATGCCAGCTATGGTAGTTTTGAAAGCAATATTTTTAAAAGCTGGATTCTGTAACAGGCTGGGTTCTTGCCAGTGTGATCTCATCTGCAGGTTCATGAGTCTCTCTTCGTCTCTCTTCTAACACAAGCTACAAAACAAACTCCAAGCATAAATAATCTGTGTTATTTGACCAGGAACTCTGTATTTCATAGACTCAGAGAATACTTTATGTTAGAAAAGACCTTCAAGACCATCAAGTCCAACCCTTAACCCAACACTAACAAGTCTACCACTAAACTGTGTCCCCAAGTGCCACATCTATCCATCTTTGAAATACCTTCAGGGATGGTGACTCAACCACTGCCCTGGGCAGCCTGTTCCAGTGCTTGATAATCTTTTCAAAACTTTTTGGAAAGTTTCCCAAATATCCAATCTAAACCTCCTTGGAGCAGCTTGAGGCCATTTCCTTGTTCTACTGTTTGCTAATTGGAGAAGAGACTGATCACTGACAGTTTTTTTCACAGATTTGATATTAAGCAGAAATTCTTTACTGAGAGGGCAGTGAGGTACTGGCCCAGAAAAGGTGGTCCAGGGAAGCTGCCTCATGCCTGAAAGTGTTCAAGCCCAGGGTGGATGGAACCTTGGACAACCTGGTCTAACACAAGGTGTCCCTGCCCTGGCAGAGGAGTCAGAAGTGGATGATCTTTAATGTCCCTTCCAACCCAAACCACTCCATGATTCTGGGTTTTTAAAAGTGCTGGTTTTCACCACATAAGCAATAGCTAAAAGGTTTCTCCACTGCTAGAGAAAATGAAGAACAAGGTAAGGACACATCAGTCAGGAAAATGTCAGATAAAGCTGAAACAGCTCTAGATAGCTAGGCTCCCAGCTGGAAAAGTTCCAGTTCCCTGGAAAACTTGACAGGTCTTTTGTCCCTTGCCAAGTTAACTTCCACACAGGCCATGAGCAGGGATAACTTGTCACTGGCTGCTGAAACCATCAGCACAGGGACCAAGTAACACAATCAGAAATCACTTGGGTCAAGGGATACAGCTGTTCACTCTCAGCCCAGGCTGAGTCAGCAACACAAGAGGAGTCTGTGAGCCCCTCCTCAACATCCCACACCAAGCAAACAGGAGCAGAAGGAGCAAGCATGTTTGGCTCCCAGCTTCCCCACCTTGTAATAATGCTCCAGCAGGATCCTGACAACCCCTTCCACGCTCTCCACTTCCACGGGCTTCCTGGCAAACTGGAGCAGGTACTGCAAGGCATCAGCAGGCGAGGTGGCTTTGCACAGGTCCACGTGCAGCGCTGCTGACTTGCTGGGCTTGGTCAGCCGCAGCTTCTTGGTGGACAGGTCCTCATGCTGCTGCTGTGGGCAGAGGGACAGGCTCAGAAACAGTGTACCCAGACCCACTCCTGCCCAGACTGAACATGGGGAGGCCTAAGGAAGCTCCCATGTCCCAGGGCAGTCACTAGCCCCTCCTTCATCTATCTGTCTCAGGGAGACACACTTGCTCAGACCGCTGTGGCTGTTACTGGATTACCTGCCCAGGTAATCCTTAGCCCCATGAAACACGGCCTCTCCCCACCCAAGGCTGGGTGAAATCCAGCTGCTTCCAACACCAAACAACGAATCCAGGGCAAAGACCGGCTTCTCCCACTCCCACCGGCCTGCAGCAGCCCAGAAAGCCGCTGTAGTTCCTTCCCCAGTCGCCGGCTGGGGGATGCTTCCTCTTCCCCGCAACAGTGCCGGCTCTGCTCAGGTCAAAGAATCAACAAAACGGGTCTGGTTGGAAGGGATCACAGGGGGTCACCCTCTCAAGCAGGGTCATTCCAGAGCACACTGCACAGGAGTGAGGGAGACTCCAGAACCTTTCCCCCCTCTTCACCCTGAGGGGAACACCTTCCCTCAGACCTCTCCCCTCCAGCAGCTCCATCCTTCCTAAACTCGGGGGCCGACCCGTCCCGCTCCTCCCCAACCCCTCAGCGGGAGGCGCTCCCAGGCTCGGCGCCGGGCTGGGCCGGCGGCTTTCCCCACAGCTCCGCCTCACCCGCCGGCACCTCCCGCCACACGGCAGAGCTCGGAGCGTCCATCCTGGCCCAGGGGGGACGTGTTACCTGGACCACCTTGGTGAACTCCTCGTACACCCGCTTCTTCAGGTGCGCCGCCATGACGCCGCCGCGCAACCCGGAAGAGGAGCCATAGAGCTGCGGCGGGAGGGGCCCAGGCGCGGCTTCTCTTTCCGCCCGGAAGCCGCACTCGATGGTCCGGCGGCCTCCCGTTGCCATGGGGACGCGGGCCCAACATGGCGGCTGCGGCTGGGCCCGCCCCGCAGCCTGACCCACCCGCCCCAGGGCGGCTGCCCCGCACTGTTTGCCCACAAAGTGCGCCCAGGTTTCACTAGCGAGAGGAATGGCGGATCTGTCTTTACAAACAAGCTGTGGGTCTGCTGGTAGATAAAACTAGCACTGGGAGATAAAAGAAACAATGGGAAAGATTCCACTAATTGATGAATGGGAAAAGATATTTGCTTTTACAAATAAACTTTAGGTGGCTGATAAATGAAATTAGACATTGAAAGATGAAAGAAACAATGGGGAAGAAAACCCCCTAAATTCCATAAGAATTAAAAATTAAAAGGGAGGGTTATACATTAGAGGGAATCTTTGGTATCAGGTGTATTGGGAAGTCTGTACCTCTGAAGTACCTCAGCCAACGAGGAAAGAGAGAAGGGAAATGTGCCCAGGAAATTAGGATTAAAAGGAGGCTTCGTCCTCCAAAAAATTAAGAGATCCCAGGGGAAGGCCCCATAGCCTCTCCCTTTATTCGAATAAAGTAAAAGGACTCTTCTGTCTCCTTTTTGGACATAAACCTCTGATGTTTGTGGATAAATTTTCCTAACACTAGTATTCGATTTTAAGCTGACTTTCACACCTTTTTCTACCTTTTTTAGCTAACAAAGAAATGAATGCTCATTGGTTCTAAATGACATAATTATCTTCATTAATTAGTATTCTGTCCTCTACTGGTTATTTATTCTTGCTTCTCATGTTAACCAGTCCCCATTTTTCAGTATTTTCGCTATCTCTCTCCCAGGTAGGGAGTTTTGCAGCACATACTGAGGAGTCTCTGTTATCTTCTGGTTTCTGCAAAATGCCCTTGTAATCGACACATTCTGCATTTTTTGTGTCCGCTTTCAGCAATACATCTCTCTCTCTCGTAGGTTTTGTTCACCAAAGCATATCAGGGCTAGTTTAGCAAAGATTAAAGTTTCAATGATTTTCCCAATCAAATTGTAACAATAACAGTTTGTGTAAAGAAACTTATCTACGTGCTGGCTAAAAGTGACTTAGGACCAATACAATGCTAATAAATAATATACTGCTGATGATTAATTAAAACAATTAATTGAAAATAATTAGAAAAATTCTTTCCAGCAGAATTGTGGAATCACTAAAGTCAGAAAAAATGTCTAAGATCATCAAGTTCTGCCATTAATCCAGAACTGCCAAGCCCCCCACTAAACTCTGTCCCTGAGTGCCACATCCACACATTTTTTGAGCCCTTCCAGGGATGGTGACTTGACCAATTCCTTGGCCAGCCTGTTCCAATATCTGATGACCCTTTCAGTGAATAAATTTTTCCTGATGGTATTCCTGGCAGAACTTGAGGCCATTTTCCTTGACCTGTCTCTCACCTGGCTGCACCCTCCTCCCAGGAGTTGTAGAGAGCGATAAGGTCACCCTGAGCCTCCTTTTCTCCAGGCTGAACACCCCCAGCTCCGTCAGCTGCTCCTCATCAGACTTGTGCTCCAGATCTTTCCCCAGCTCCACTGCCCTTCTCCAGGACACTCCAGGGCCTCAATGTCCTTCTTGGAGTGAGGGGCCCCAAACTGAACACAGAATTTGAGTGTGTGCCAATTAAAGTTTCTCATGGCAGCAGTCCTATAGAGGTTGATTGGTATGAGGCTTTAACTATTCTATACTGAGATTTTTTTTTTTCTCCTAATATCTAATTTTCATCTCTGTTGTTGAGACTTAAGCCAGTTTCCCCACCCTTAGTATGGACAAAGTGTAACAGATCTCTTTAAAGCAGCCTTTTGTCTACTGGGAAGCCTCCTCAATCTCTCTTCTTCCAGGCTGAGCACCACCAACCACTTGGTTAGGATCAAAAGAGCCTCTCTGAAACCTTTTTGTCCTCTCAGACACTGACTGTGTCCATTCTTACCAAGGCTGTGAATGTAAAAGGTCTCAGAGTTCCTTCACACCTAGAGCAGAACTGCCCTGCAGCCTGGAGTGACTCACGGCTGTCACTGGGGGGAGGTCCATGCTAGGATAAGCACATCTGAAACAGCTTAATTAGGAGTGGCTCAAATCTGTTATCCTAAAACAAAACTTCAGGTCTTTAGAATTCAGGGATCTTGAGGGGGAAATGTCAGTAAATAAAGCACTTCTGCATAATTCAAAAAAATTTTAAAATTTCTTTATTTGAAATCCCAGGGACCATTCTATGATTCTATGGTTATTGTCCTTGACTGGAAGAAATCCATCCTCCAAGAAGTAAAGGAAATATGGTCTTTATCAAATTAGCCATTATGATTCTCAGAGTGATTAAACCCAAGCCATTTCCAGTATAAAAATAAACTTTCAAATTCTAAGATTTTTTTTTAAATGCCTTGTACAATGCAACTTGTGTTCGGTAAAAGAGAATTTGCACGCTGTTCCTTCAGCACCACTTCCTTCCCACAAATCATGGCAGGTTTTCCCAATTCTTCCAGGAGCTTATATAGTTAGAAATAGCATCATCATAATAATGAGTGTCATAAGAAAAAGATAAAGATTGTGTGGTCTGAAAGAGGAGTGTGTGTCCTTAGATTATAAGCTCCTCATATCAGTGATGGTATTTTTGCCTTTTGTTTATCCGGGGCCGTAGCTGAGGTTCTCTGTCTTTCCTTCAGAACAAATAATAAATAATGGTAATAAATATATTGACTAGAGAGTAGCCGGTCTGCTGGAGAAAGAAGAAGTGATCATAGGACACTGAATCCTTCCTTTTAACCCAGATTCTAGTGTAGAAAGGCAGGAGAAGAATAGCTTTTGCCTTCCCATTTAGAAACCAAATTTAATTTGAGTATGTGGTAATATCATTGTTTCAGTCAGGATTTCCACATATGTGGCCTGTTCCCATTTGAGAGAGCAACTCTACATGTCCACCAGGCTTATTTGGGATTATTCATTTCCCTTGGGTTGAGTGAGGTTGGCTCAATTCACAGATCCATCTCTTTGAACTGAATGAATAGTAAGCAACACTGAAGAGTAAAATTCCTCGTTTTTCTGGAGCCTTTTAAAACCTCTAAAAAGTTATCCCCTAAATCCCAAGTAAAGTGGCTCTTAAGTGTTCTTTGATACGGAAAACAGCCAAAGGAGATCCTTTTGTTGGCCTGTGCATTTCTTCCTCTCCCTCTGATAGCTCGTGTTTTATTCTCCACAGTCAGGGTTAATTTGTTCCAGTGATTGCTTTCTGATTTTCCCTATCAATGGTGGCACTTTGCTACCACCAGGTGAACAGAAACTTGTAGAAGAAGTCATGCGACTTGAAGCGAAAACCTTTTTCAGCAACATGGGGCTGAAAGGATATTTTGTACCCTTTGGCTTCAACGTCCATTTGAATGCAGTCCAGCAGATCAGAAATGCTGGGCACAGCCTTCCAGGGGCCAAACTTCACCACGGATTTTTTATCCATGTCCAAACTGTTCAAGGCATCCTGACACCTGGCTGCGTCCTCCTCGGTTCTGACCACGCACACGATGACGCTGGACTGTCGGGACGCAACCGCTTCCGCCCTCGCGATGCGGATCATCAGCTCGATGTTCTCGCTGTAGTTGGGCACGCGGGCCAGAAACTGCCTCCTCGCCACGAGCTCCCCAAAGATCTGCGGGGAGTCCTCAAGCTGCTTGATCAAAGGCTCTATGTCATAGAACAACGCCTCCTTGTAGACGTCCTGGATGCACTGGGTGGGCACTTGGTTACTGCGCAGGTACTCCAAGATGTATTTGAAGTAGGTGCCTGGTCTGTCAATGAAGAACCTCCCTTCGGAGTCTGTCCTGAGTTTGGGCTGGCCGGTGAACATCTCTGCCAGCTTGGAGCCAGGGTGTTTCTTCAAGGTGCTCAGTGTTGTTGTGTACATCTCCCCGCCAACATTTAACTCCACAATTGGTGACAACTGAAAAAAAAAAAGACAAAAAGCCATGTGCATTATCAGTCTGAGGTCATCAACATGGAAGTGTCAAGGAAAAGATAGATGATTGTATTGGGGACAGCCAAAGGCTATACGGAGACTCCATCATCAGAAGGCATGAGAAGACACTTTATTTTTAGAAATCTACAGTTCTGATAGAAACAGTGGTGGACCTAAAACCTGATTGGCCTTTAGGAATCTTCTCTCACACTATTGGTGAACTATGAATAGCACACTCTGGAGAATCATATCTATAAACAATGGTTACAGAAAGAGAGATAATAATTGTTTGAATTTTTTCCTCTAAGTTTCCCACAGCTTCTAAAATCCTGGGAGAACCATGTCTCTCTCTGTTCAGAGGATATGTAATTACTACAGCTGGAAGATGGAATGATGGTGTGAAGAGCAATATGAGCTCCCATTTTGTGGGTATCAGATGGGAACCTCCACCTGATTTATTGGAAAAAGCAGATGCAGGATGCTTATACAGCTCTCACCACCAGAGCAGCAAAGACTTGGACATTTCTAAATGTCTAAGTCCTCACCTCATCTTTGGGATGTAGGAAAGTGTCATTTTCCTGGTGGGAAAGAGAGAAAAGGAGTACCCTGCCCAGGAAAGCTGGGAGTGACTACAGGATCCAACACTGATCTCCTAAGCAGCTCACAAGCATTGTCCCTGTGGGCCACCTACAGCAAGAATAGTACATGAGCTCTCACCCACCCCATGTGCAGAGGGACAAAGATAGAGCCCAAAGCTGTGCTGTTTCATTTTTATAAGCTGAACTGTTCCTTCCTCTTTAAAGGAGAAACTAAAGCCTTTAAAACTTTATAAATAGGTGGAATTGGCTTCCGCTCATCTAGGGGTTTAGCTGCAAACTCTGAAGTAAGACACAAAAATCCATCAGGTCAGAGGTGCAGGACAGAAGCTCTTTAGCAAAGCACCTAAAAATGTATGATGGCTTTAGTTAGGAAGTAAAGGAAATATTTCATGCAACTGACATGGACCTAAAATGGAAAAATGTAAAGATTGTGTGTTTGTTCGCATTTTTTAACCCTCTGTATTAACACCATTGTGTGAATTGAAGGAGGCCTGAATGCCTGGAAAGCTGGACTTTTTAAATTGACCTTCTTGTATGTTCAGTATGAAAAATTTTACTAGCTTCCCTTTGCACTTGGTCATTTTATGTAGTACTCAGCAGATGAGAAGAAAAGGAGAGAAAGAGAGGGAAGGAAGGAAGGAAGGAAGGAAGAGAGAGAGAGAGAGAGAGAGAGAGAGA